AACCTTCCTGTATAGAGTGGCAGAATCTAGTAAATTGAATAATAATGTCAGTTGTTTTGGGTTTCATCTTTAATCATCTTTGCTTAATTGAGTCAAATGATTTCTTAGGATAATGATGCTTTAGTTTTTTAAAAAGGTGGAGTCTGGAAAATTATAAGTATGTTACATTAAGGCTAGTTATTTTAGGTGTCTGATATCTTGAAATGACTTGTATGTATAGATAATATAGTCAATAGGATAATATTGTAAATGTACTGATGTTTATAGCCTTGGTATGTTCTTAATTGACATTGTTATTTAAATGAAATTAATGGGTTTAATCAAGACTTTTGTGCTGAATTTGAGCTGCAAGACATAGGCTAACATTTAATTTACTTCAAATTCTCCACTATAAATGGTAGGTGAAGAGATTCTCAAAGGAATTTTTGAAAAAGCTGTTTCTATGGGCAATCTAAGAAAAATATTAAAGTCCTTCAGAAAAACTTCACAAAGGTAGTTTTGTAAATGAGTATCACCCACAGTCATTTTTTTAATCTCTCTCTTCTCCAAGGTGCTTGATAAGAAACTAAATTAAATCTTCATTCCTTACCATTTACCTAGGATAAATGTATTAATTAAGCACATGCCTGTTTATAAAACTACTACTGTAAATTCTTACTGTTATAGAAAATATTTTCAGTTCATTTTTCTGATTGCATCTATTTGATGTTAATAAAAGGTATATGTTTTGTTTCTCTGGGTTTTTTTATTATTATTGGAACTACCATTTTGATTTGTAGAGTATCTTGGGCTTCTGATTATAACCTGGTTATATTATAGCCTAGATGTAGCTTAGTTTGGGAAGGTCATCAAAGGGTAAAAGTATATTATCAGCACATGACTCCTATTACAGGAAATAATTTGGTTAAAATAAATGTAATTTTGAATAATATTTAGGACAGTTCCCAGTCTTAAGCAAACTTGTGTGTCTCCTTACCAGTGACAGGCAGGAAAAATACTAAATGGGAGAGTTCAGATATAGGACAATAGAAAGACAGTGAACCATGATCCAGTGGATTTCATCTTAGGGATGCAAAGTTGGTTCAACATAAGGAAATCAATAAATGTAATTCATCACATCAATAGACAAGAACCACATAATTTTCTCAATTGATGCAGAAAAAGCATTTGACAAAATACATCATCCATTCATGTGTAGAACACTGAAAAAACTAGGGATAAAAAGAATATACCTAAACATTGTAAAATTCTATTGTAAAAAGCACATTGGAGAATAGATACAAAAAATGATTGTGGATGATACTCATTTACAAACCCAAGGCCAATATCATTCTAAATGGACAAAAACAAAGCATTCCCTCCAAAACCAGGAATAAGACAATTATGCCTGTTTTCACCATTTATATTCAACATGGTCCTTGAAATTAGCCAGAGCAATTAGGCATAAGAAAGAAATTAAAGGGATACAAATAGAAAAAGAAGAGCTCAAATTATCTGTTTGCTTGACAACATGATTCTATATTGAGAAGAACCAAAAAGTTCTACCAGAAAAATTCTAGAATTAAAAAATGAATTCAGCAAAGTAGCATGATACAGAATCAACACCCATAAATCAGTTGCATTCCTATACTGCAAGCAGTGAAGCTGAAAGAGAAATTAGGAAAACAACCCCATTCACAATAGCCCCAACTGTGATTTTTAAGTCATGTCTAGTTTCATTCTAGTGGGTTCATAAACTTGTTCACTCCCAGATTTGCCATTTTCACTTAAAAAAAAAAAGATATTGAATGATTTTTGGATTCTTAGAGACTAGTTTTCAAGTGATGGTGGAATGAGATGGACTTCATTACCCTAAGTATATGTATGAAGGCACAAATGATGCTAATATACTTTGTATACAAACAGAGATATGAAAAATTGTGCTCTATATGTGTAATATGAATTGTAATGCATTCTGCTGTCATATATAACAAATTAGAATAAAAAAATTACCAAGTAAGTAACAAAGATTGCCTAGAAAGCCTTATAATAACGAAAAACAAAACGCTAAGTTGAATTTGTAGGGAATCACATAAAAGATTGTTTCTACTTAGAAGAAGTTATTCAAAGGAAGAGTCCTGGCTTGACTAAAGAATGCACATGCATCATGCATGCATAACTCAGAAAACATGCACATATATATATATATATTAAAGAAGGAGCTAATTCTTTCTAATAAAGTCATTTTTATTTTCCTCCCTAAAATCATTCTACTTTGCCTGAGCTATCTATTCCCATAATATATTCCATGAATTCCATATAACTTGTTTTAAGCTGCTGTCCTTGGTTTAAGAACAAAAAAATTATCTGTATGTGGGGTAAAAATGGGAGTTCATAACCCACTTGAATCAAAGTGTGAAATATGTATATCAAGAACTATGTAATGTTTTGAACAACCAACAATAAAAAAGAACAAAAAAATTATAAATATAGAGTGTTGAGGAGCATGAACATAACACATATTTTGGGCTAGGGTGTAGCTTATTGGTAGAGCACCTTCCTATCATATATGTGGCCCTAGGTTCAGTCTACAGCAGTGCCAAAGGAAAAAGAGAGGACAATATATCTAACCTTTCTCTTTTAGCAGTACTGTGAATGTGTCTGACCATTAACCCAAGCATTAATTTTATCAAAAATACTAAGAGAAAAAGTTTTCAACATTTTCTGACCCATCACATGTAAGAGATACAAGACATTCCCATTAACTGATAGCTGGGAATCAAAATCGTGAGAAAGGGGTGTTGGTAGAATTTTAAGAGGAAAAATAGATGATATGATACTCCACTCCAGCTTTTTCCTCTAAATCTACTACTAGATCTAGGTGACGACCAAAGTTCTTCCATTTCTAAAATTCTTTTTTTTTTTCTTCTGCCTTTCTTTGTATACCACCAATACACTTGCATAGTTTTTCCCCCTACCAAAGGATGGGAAGGGGGAGAATCTAATATATCAGCTTACTGTAGAATTGTTATTCCTATTTAGTCTTATGTGCAAAAACAACCAATAACTTTTTTTTTTAACTGAACTATAGGACAAGTTTAAAATAAAAGCTGGAAATTAGTTTGCTGGTGTTTTGGGGGAAGCATCCTATAGTAGAAAATTTGGAATTTCTCTTTTTCAAAACCAAATTAAGGAAGAAAATCTTCTGAGATTATATTTTAAAATGTTCAACAGCAAGAAAACTTTAGTTTTAGAAATCTGGTGTCTTTTTTTTTTTTTTTTTTGATGATGTAGTAAGGTATACTACAGCAGACATCAGAAAACAGAACTTTTAAACTATTCCGATTATTTCTTTTTGTCTGGAATGCATATTTTAATTAAGTAATACTTTGCAGTGCTGGGGCTCAAGCCCAGCGCCTCACTCATGTTAGGCAAATGCTATGTCACTGAGCTATATATACCCAGCCTTGGGATGCATATTTTAAAGCATTAGATTTAATTAAATTATGTATAAAATACATACATGGACCATGGAAAATAGTATTTGAATTTTTTCTAAGACAGCAATAATATGATACAAAAATATCTGATATTTATTGTTGATGAAATCATAGGTACTTTTATGTAGTTCATTGTCTACATCATAATTTCGGAAAATATTAAACAATTAGAAGTTAGTGAAGATGTAATTTTTCCCTATTGTTCATAGACCCCTTCAATCTAAAATTATTTGTATTCCCTAAGACACATTCAGGGAAGCCAGATGTAATCCTCAATGTTTCAAGAGATTTAATCTTTGAGGAAGGTGGAGCTCAGGGTCTCTTCCATATTTAGCCCTTAATACTTTTCAAGTCTTTAAAATAAGCAAGTGGTTGGTTGTTAAATGGTGATTATCAATAGCTCTTGCATTAGGAACTCAGTTTATTGCCACTGGCTTTATTTCAGATTACTGAAATGAATATTTTTAAAAGCCAGTTTAAAATCAGAACATCCCTTCTAGCAGTAATGAGTGCTTTATTTATGCCTTGACTTTAAGCTGTTTTCATAATATATTCTTTTGTCATTAAAGAGAAAATGTATCTCATGTCATAGGCCCTGAATCATCCTACTTTGTGGATACTTTGTGGAAATTTGCAGGGTAGTGTTTGTGTGATAATTTTTTGAATTTATTTTTTATTGTGGTAAAATTAACGCAAAATTTACTATTTTGACCACTTTTAAGTATACAATTTAGTGGCATTAATTACATCTGTAGTGGTGTGCAGCCATTACTGCTCACTATTTCCTAAATTATCATCATCCCAAACAGCAGCTTTACTCATTAAGCAATAACACTCCTTAGTACATTCTACCCAACTTCTATTAAACACTAAACTTTCTTTTCATGTAAATTAAATCAAGCAATATTTGTCTTTTTGTGTCTGGCTTATTTCCCTTAGAGAGTGTTTTCAAGTTTTATCAATGTGTTAGATTATATCAGAATTCTATTCTTTTTTATAGCTGAATAACATTCCAGTCTGTGTTTATGCCACATTTTGTTTATTCATTCATTTGTTAGAGGACACTTGGGTTGTTTCTGCCTTTTGACTTGGAAAGAATGCTTCTATAAACTTTGTCATATAATATCTGAGTCCTTGTTTTCACTTTTTTTTGGGGGGGGCATGTATACTTAGAAGTGGAATTACTAGGTCATTTAGTAATTCAGTATTTAACTTTTTGAGCAATGTGATCTTTTTTTTTTAATTTTTATTTATTTATTTATTTTTCTTAGTGGTGCTTGAGATTGAACATAGATCCTTGTGAATGTTAGGCAAGCACTCTACCAACTGAGCTATATCCCCAGCCCCGTGATCATTTTTTATAATAGCTCATTCTTTTTTTTATTATCCTTTCATTAATGTTTAAGTTGTTTTTTTTTTTAATTTTTGTTTCCTGGGTTGACTTTTGTTGCTGAATTTTAAAAAACTTATTTGTTTTGATCATTCATTTTTTTCTTTTCTTTTCAATTGTTTGTTTTTCAGACCCGAATCAGAACTCCATCACAGGGGAACACAGCCAGCTGTTAGGTATAGTATTACTATGGGAATTGACTCTCTAAAGTCACCTTTTTACCCATTTGTACTAACAGACATTACTTACTCCCTTCTCTAATTCTATTTTTGGTCGACTCCTTTTCTGCTTTTCATTCTTTAGTTTTTTTTCCCTGCTGTGTCTCTTTCCAACTTGGTAGGCTTTAGGAAATGACTTCTGTAATTGATTACTAAAGTCAATTTAATTATATTAAAGAGTAATTTTATGCTATATGGTGAAAAAGTACTCTAAGCTTACAACTTCTTTTTTTTCCAAGAAATTTTGAAAAGAAAATATAATATTTTATAATATCTTGGACTTCACAGCTACTTTACCCATTTTTGTTATTTTTCTTGGTCTTTTGACAACTTTATTTTTATTACTGAAAGTACTTCATAAATAGCATGGTCTTAACTAATCCATAAAAATTACTGTTTCAGTTATCTGTGAAACAAGTTAAGGAAGTGCAGGGATTTCTTTTGGATATTGCATATTTAAAGAGTAGGAAAGTTAATTTAAAAAGAAATAAATAGCAGGAAACTTATAATTTGACAAAAATTTCACAAAATCTCAAAACTGATATATTTTTAAAATATAACAACAAGGGCTGGGATTGTGGCTCAGTGGCATAGTGTTACCCTAGCATGGGTGAGGCACTGGGTTAATCCTCAGCACCATATAAAAATAAATAAAAGTATTATATCCATCTACAACTAAAAAAAAAATACTTAAAAAAAAAAAAAACACGAGCTGGGATTGTGGCTCAGTGGTAGAGTGCTCACCTAGCATGTCGTGAGGCACTGGGTTTGATTCTCAGCACTACATATAAATAAATAAAATCAAGTCCTTTGACAACTTAAAAAATAAGTAAATAAATAAAGACACAAGACATATTCTAGTTGAGGAATCCAGACAATACAACGGTATAAAGAAAGCAAAGATCTTTTGAAGTATCTCTTCTTCCTACTACCTCACCTCCATTTCTCCAAAGTACTTAGTGTTGACAGTTTCTTTGGAATTCTAGAAATTATTATAAATTTTGTATTGTATCTTTTTTCCTTTTTATATCAATTTGGTTATATTATTACAGATTATTCTGTTCTATCATATAGACTGTTTTTCACTTAATAGTTTATCTTAGGCATCTCATATCACTACATAAAGATCTACCTCATTCCTTTGTTTACAGTGGGATAGTATACTTTTGTCCTCCTTTTCTGTAATTTTACTCAGCCAATTCATTCTTCATGAATGTTTAGGTCATTTCTAGGTGTGTTATGTTATAAATTATGTTGCAATAAGGATACTGTGCTTATATCCTTGTAATCTCATTGCCAGAATATTTTTAGGATAAATTTCTAACAGTACAATTACTTAAGCAAAGGTAAGTACATCTTCAAAAAGACAAGTCATCATAAGCTTCCACCAATAAGATGTATGAAGGAATGTTTGGCTGTCTATTATCAAAAGTTGATGTTACCAGTCTTAAGTTTTTATTTTTACTAATAGGTGAAGATGACATTTCTAGTTTATATTTGTACTTTAATTATGAGTGAGGTTGAGTATTTTTAATATATTAACAGTTGTTTGTATACTTGTGTGTGAGTTTTTTGATTCATATATTGCTAAACTTTTAGCTGATTGAATATTTGCAGTGCAGCTGTGGAAAATATGTTACCAGAAAGTCCAAAGTAGGGAAAGTACTTGATTTGTCTTGTTTGCTTATGGAGATTTCAGAGTGTTGGTTAAAGAAATCAGATACTCCTTTTTGCTCTTTTTATGTTAATGGACCTTGAGTTATTGAGAAGAGGTAATGAAATCTTAACTCTCATTCCTTTGAGTGAGTATATGTGCTAGAACTGCATTTAACACTGTAGGCACCCAGAATATATGTATTAAGTAAATGTTTTGACATGAACATGGAAATCTGATCACTAGAGTCCTAGCCTTGGGGTATTGGAGATATCACTATTTAATTTTTGTTTTTGTTTTGTAGTGCTGGGAACCAGACTCAGGGCCCTGCACATGCTAGGCCTGCACTCTACACTGAGCTAAAATCTTGGCCCTTTTTTATTTTTATAATGGATAGTTATGCTGATCAAAATTAGTTTTTCTCTATGTAAAAATTTCACAGTTAAATCAAGAATGGTTAAGATTTCATTAATTTTTGCCAGACCGTGCAAAGCACATCTAAACTATTAAATGGCTTCTGTTCCTGATACATACCTGGTAGGCAGAGAAGTTAGCTATTTATTACCTGACAGGAGGAAGTAGAGGTGGGTCAGATTTTTACAAATGAAATGGAGTTGATGCAGCTCCACTATTACTAAACTGATCAAAATAATGAAAGATTATTTTTTCCTATTTTTTAAAAATTGTATTGTTTCTCAGAAAAGGCATTGGTAGCTTGAATGTAAACCTCCCTGATCTCTGGGCTTAGGGTGTAGCTCATTGGTAGATCACTTGCTTAGCATGTGCAAGGGCCTGGGTTTGATCCCCAGCACCACAGTAAGTAAGTAAGTAAGTAAGTATAAAATCCCAGCTCTCTAAAAACCTCCTTTAGAATAAGTTGGTCTAGTAGGTAAAATTTGCCTTGCCTCCTAACTTGAATTTATAATAGAATCCTTCAGACTTTTCTGCTGAATTGGATTTATATCTTCCAGACCTGCTAAATGCTTTTCCTGTCAAAAGACTGCAGGTGTTGTTCCCACTGACTCATCTGGTCTCTTGCAAAACTCAGGATCAGGCTGAGGAGATATATGGGAGGGTGAAACTGCTATTATAACCATGAATCAAGCTCTATACTTATAATTTATGAACTTCCCTGTGTGTGTAAGTGTGTACTTTTCAATTCAAAAAAACTTTAGAAAACAAACAAGCAGTGAGTCCTGGCAGTTTTACAAGAAGTTTTGCCAAACATTCAAGGAAAAAGAATTCCAGTCTTCTGCAGTCTTTCTCAAGGCAAAGAAAACCAAATAAACAGTGTCTGAATCAGTTTGAGGCTTTCAAAACCTTTGATACTCAAAGTTAAGAAGAGCATGAGCCAGTCTTACTTATGAATACATGTATAATCCTAAACAAAATATTTGCACTCTGAATCAAGCAATATTGTTTTTCAATTGCTCCTAATGCCAAGTTGAGGTTTCTGCTGAAAGTGCATGGTTGACTTAATTTTGAAAATCAATTGATATAATTTGTTATATTAACAGATTAAAGGAGATATAGAAAAAGTTTTTTTAGTTTTTTTCATAGTGCTAGGGATCAAACCCAGGGCCTTGTGTATGTTGGGCAAGCACTGTACCACTGAGCCATATCCACAGCTCATACAAAAAGTTTTTATTCAAAACAAACCCAATATTAACATTTATTAATTCATAATGATATTTTTAAAATGAATTGGTCACCATCAGAGTATTGTAGTGAACCAATTCATTATTCTGAGGACTGGTCGATAAAGGAATTGAAGGATCTGTCTTTACCTGTACCACTGGGTAACCAAGTAGCAGATTAAAGGGAATATCTATTTGATAGTTTTTCAGCTAATAAGTGAGGAAAGAATAATAGAATATCACTCTTTTTACCTCTCATAAATTAATACATAATAATAACATTTGTTAGTAATGTCTCAAAAGGAAAGACAACCAGATGGCATATACCTCCTGATAGAAAATCACAATTGCCATTATGATGCCATTATGATGTAGTTTTCCTTTCTTTTCCTTAAAAATACTGAATATGATGTGATTTAAGCCTCTATACCCACCTAATAGGTTCTGTTGTAATTACAACAGGTATTTCCTATATTCAACAGAACCCATTAACCAATATCACATTAGTGCTATCATCAAATCTAGCCCATCAGAAACTCTCCAGGACAATTGGCAGTATTGTATATGCCTGGGATCCCAGCTTTGTGGAAGACTAAAACGGGAAAAATTCCAAGTTCAAGACCAACCTGGGCAACTTACCAGGACCTTATAAAAAATAAAAATGTCTGGGGATGTGCCCCTGGGTTCAGTACTCACTACCACTAAAAAACATACAAACAAACAAACGAAAAACTCTTTAGAACAAATGATTTCTTCAGCAAGCTGCAAGGGTGAAAAAAGAGACAAAAATATAAGATGTGTAACAACTAATCCTAGTATATTCCTCTTATTTGGTAGCTGATCCAAACAAACAATAAAATCAAAAACATAACTTGCATTTTTTGAGAAAACCTTTCAAGTTTGTGGAGATGCTTAGGTCAAATCCAAATCTACACTAAAGAAGCTTTAGATGTTCTTACTGCTTGGTTCCAGCCAGCAAAGACCATTTGACAAGATCAGGAGACTTAGGGGAGATTTATCTTGGGCCCCAAATAAAGTGTATTCATTGGCAAAAAGAACATTGTAGAAATAACAGTACCACAAAATAATGTTTTAAAATGAGTGTTTGGTATACTTTTTTTCCTGTTTGCAAAAAAAAAAAAATTAAATGGATGGAGTGTAGTAACTCAGTAATAGAGTATATGCTTGGCATGTGCAAGGACCTGGTTCAATTCCTAAGCATCAAAAGAAAAGGAAAAAAAGAGATAGACATACGAAATCTTCAGTAGAACCAATGGTTCTTCTATTTGTTTTCATTTGAATTATGCAATAAAACAGTAGTAAATCAGCATTATTTAGATAGTAAAATGAAGCACAACAGTGATCTGATGCAGTGTTTAATTTAAAACATTACCAAGGCCAGTCTCAGTATCCTCCAAAGGAATCTTCTTAGTATTCTAGATAATCCTAAAAGCCCTAGAATATGGATTTAGGTTCTTGGTTCATGCAGAGTTAGGGATTATGTATTACTGAGAAGTCCTGGAAGTTCCACACCATCTGGTTTGTTTCCTGGTGTCACAGTAGTGACCAAGACTAAAGAAGGCTACACTATGAAGCAGCCAAAGGAGAAGGGACAGATTATCAAAGGAACAAAAGAAAGAAAGCTCAGCAGCATCACAGAAACTAGA